AAAAAAAAAAAGGGTACTTTCGATGCGCTTTGTGAAATACAGCGTCTTTGAACGATAGAGAGTGAAAAAGAAAGAACTGAAAAGTGCGATGATATGCAAACGATGACGCTGAGAAGTAATAATATACTTGGGAGACCAGACAAAATCCTGCGCAATCTAGGAATCTAGCTGGTACATAAACGTCGTGCCAGCAGAGGTCCGAATTTGCAGTTGGCCGTTTTGCCTCTGTTATTTAGTGTGGCGAGGTTGGATAATATTCCCCATGCAGTCAGAGCAGAGCAAGGCTCAGAAGGCTCCAGCCGCTTTGCAGTTGACTCATCGTAGATGATTCAGAATGATGACGAATCAGGAGACGGCAACAGCCCGGTAAAAATGGCGCTAAGGGGGGGAACATTGGTTTTAGAAGGGGAAAAATTTTTTTTGGTCTTTGTGTACGATACGAAAATACTTTTGGCTGGCTGCTGACGAAGAATCAAGTCACGTGGGTTGTTCACTTGTCTCAGAAAAACACCAGAGACTTGCAGTGAATAAATGTGATTTAGGTTTTACTGAAGATCAATTTCTACAAATTAACCATTATCCAACTCGTAAATCTCAAGTTTTCTCGGGGTGATCCATTGTAATGCTGTTGGCATTCACCTACGTAGGTACCTGTGCCTCTAGGTAGTGAACTACGTTTAGGGGAGGGGCAGTTCATTGTGGAGCCCTATCGGCTTCAAATGTTCGTTTGGGTAGCAGTTACCGGCCAAAAGCTAGGTATCTACTAGGTAGTAATGCAGTTGGAGTACTACAGCTCAGTGCTGGGGGAGATTACCTTATATAATCGCATTGATTCTTGGCTTTGAGCGGGTTTGTTGTCTACACAATCTATCTCTCAGAACGAATCCCCAGGTGTAAGTTAGCTCAGTCCTTTGCTCGATGATCTGTACAACTGCGCGGCGGGCAAATGTGGTAACTTCGACGTGTTATACTACCGTGTTGCTAAAAGAGCTGCACTCAATGGATCATTGTGGGTCAGATGAAAGCGCACGGCCAGCGCCTAACTTAGTGCTTTGTACGAGTTGCCAGTATATCGTAAGCGGCTGGCACATTATCGTTTTGTCATGGTCGCTTGATCATAGACCTAGAGTATCCTCAAGCATATGGAATTATTTCTGAATGGGAGCCTGCCGGGACTATAGCCACGGGAAGGAGACATCATAATACCTACGAGATACCACAGAGAAGTGTAGGACGACCGGAGGGCTCAACAGTAAAGACTCCATCGTATGCTTTATGGAATGCAGCCATGTCCACAGGAATACCCGAGCCAAAAGCTATGCACCGAGGCGGATGTGTGCTGGAGTCTGGCAAAGAGGCTCGTCCGTACCCATTGCCGCGATATCTCAAAAAAAAAAGGTGACAAGTATAACAAGTGACAACAAGTTGTTCTGACCTAACAGTAGAGTAGTGTGAAAATCTCTCTCGGCCGGGCACACCGGATGAGGAGGTGCTTAGGAGCCATGTCCTTCAGAGAACCACCAGCCCTACGACACTGCTAAAGTGAGACAACCAGACAGCCCCGTTGGTATTGCACCAGCACATGCAACACTGATGCCCACAGACTTGCCCAACCGCCCCCCGAAATGCTCCGAGCTAAGCAATCATGCGATTATTGCCGCTTACTCTTTTGTCATGAGAAGCCCAGAAGCCAAGAGCATGCAGGCTATAGTAGGTATGGTTAGGCACAATGACTCTGATAAACGAATGACCCTGTGAGCTCCGAACTTGTAGCATAAGTGCAATATGCTGATGATGAATGGCCATGCGGAGCAGCCTCCTCTTTTTAGGTCATCAAAATCGGACTCCAATGTTGCCAGGGTCAAGTAGGTATAGGTCTATTTAGTCCTTGTGCCCTGGACGAACATTTCAGCCCCACGTCGAGCTTAAAGTGACTTAAGGTTTTAAGCTTTTCTAGAAATGCTTCCATCAGGACCAATCAGTCATGGGTTTCGATATACTAGGGCAGGCTCGCTTGTGGTATCCTCATTCTCAGCTTCCGTCACTATCTACCCGGGCGTCTCAAGGCTGATGACGTGCCGGAAAGATGCTGGCTCTGGAGTGTCACAAGGAATCTTACATTGCATTGCCCAGCTAGATTGCCAAGAATGCGGCATGCTGGCATTGTACGATCATTCAAACCCACCAGGCCACCTCAAGAACGAATCCGGTGAACAAGTCGAGAGACCGAGCGCCACACACAACAGATGGCTTCTCAACTATCGACTTGGTACCGCATGGTGATTTGTCCTGGAAGAAGACAAACAGGTTGTATCACGCAGTCAGCCTCGTATAATGCAAAGTACTCCGCAGCTCCTGCAAGCCCATTCATATTCCATGTAAGCCGCTTCAGTCCATATTGCTCAACGCCACTTATTGCAACACGGCTTCTCTCCACTGGATATCACGTACCACAATATGACATCAATCCTTTCCAAGCTCGGTAAGCTCATTTTGCTTCCACTTATGCTTAATTCGTCTATACTTGTATTCAAACCCACTTGCCAATACCAATCTAATTCTCCATTACATAACCAAGTAGGGTGTTTAGCAGAAATCGGCCGCAAGTACAAGACGCTTGGATTCTATATCTACTTGATCATGAGATGCAGAGATGTTTAACCTACTCTTTGTATCAGCCTCTATCATATCGCGGTCATACCCTTCTCGGGTCACTCATGACAGAAGCCGCTCATAGCATCAGGCTTCAGCTGTCCATGTGATGGTGTGCTTTTCCGTTCACTTAACCCTGTGACCATGGCATCCAAGTCCAGTGCTGCAGTCATCACGTGCCCAATAGCGTCTGTATCTATGCATCTCCAACTTCATGCAATATACGCAATAGTCGGGCTCATGGCTGCATTGTGCTGAACTCCACAACGCGGCTGAGAGAGCCAGAGCATCATCGTCATCATCCACTTGAAATGCTAGGATCACACACCCGGACTCCGTCCGAAATCTACCTACTTAGGCACTCACTCATGTCAAAGCTCTTCAACTTTACTTGATCCTAGCGGCCTGTTCATTTCCAAGCTAGCATCTTATTTGGGCATCTGGTATTCGTATCGACACTCAAGCTGGAGCCTATCTATCCTGCTCAAGCTCAGACAGATATGCCGCAAGCAAATAGTCTAAAGTGGCACGCGGGGTGGATTATCTATGGTATAGTCTGATATCCTTGTACTAAGAGGATACAACTTTGCATGGCGCACCTACGAGGGCTTCATGTGGGTTGCGCTCGGGCTGCCGCCGGCGTTGTTCCTCACTCCCCGGCGAGCCTCTTTGGGCTGTCCAATAAAGGTATGAAGAGAATGACTGAGTTATCCGGATCTAGGAAAAGAGTCATCTAGAAACTGGTCATCCGAATCTTGCTGACAAGCATCGGCTTATCGATGCTGCCCTCCAATGTAGCCCCATACCACTTTGTTCGTGTATAAAGAAGGGGCAGTGTGTCCTGTCACAAGATGATGTCTACAGTCTCAAAACATTCTGCTTACAGACGACTTTCAACAGCACAAGAATGATTTTGAACCATCATTGAAATAACTTTCACTGGATAATCTTTATAATCTTCAGAAAACCCAAGAAAACCCCCTTGTTGTTCTTTGGGAGGAAAGTAGGGCCCGTTACGATCAGGATATATGCACAACATGCTCGCTTTTCTCATTTTCAGCATATCGGTAAGTTCAAATTGGACAGTACTCTCTACAAAATTTCCCATGCTGAATTGAAAAGCAGTTGGTCTCAGCCCTCAGTGTTCCCAACACATTACCGCAAGGATGGAGCTATAGTGGCTGTTACACGTAAGATCAATATCCCGTCCGCAACCAACCTCAGCTTGACTGACACGTGCTTAGAGATGTTGGCCGTACGATCAATGCGGATTACACAGCAAGCAAACAAATGACAGCCCAGTCATGCATCTCGTACTGCTCGTCCAAGGGATATCCGTTTGCGGGCACAGAATACTATAACGAATGCTGTGAGCAGTCATTTGCATGATTCTTTTCTGGACACGCATCGCGGATATTGCTGACTTATTTTGCAGACTGCGGTACGAAACTGACAACTGGCGCGGCCAAGGTTGCAGACACCGATTGCAACACGGCTTGCTCTGGCGATAACACGCAACCCTGCGGCGGTGGCAATCGTCTTAGCCTCTTCAACAATTCGAATATTCAAGGACCACAGCCGAACACGGGGATTCAGAACTGGACACACATCGGCTGTTATACGTAAGATATAAATGGACGGCATCAAGTAGCTGTCTGCTAATGAGCTCGTTAGGGAGGGGCAAAATGGCCGAGCCCTGGGATACAAAGCAAATATCGCCGTCGACCAGGTCAGCGGTGCCAACTGCACAGCGGCTTGCAAGACAGCTGGCTTTATTCTCGCTGGGACGGAGTATTCGGGAGAGTGCTGTAAGCAGAGGAACGTTGTTCAAAACTGAAGCCTTACTAAAAGAATGCTAGACTGCGGCAACACCATCGCCAACAATGCCACCCTGGCTATAGACGGTTGCGTCATGCTCTGCAACGCCAACAAGACGGAAGTATGTGGTGGTGCAAACCGCTTGAATATTTACGACTTCAACATGACGTATCCGGTGACACTCAGCAGTAGCAGTAGCGGTTCATCCTCACCTCTCACCTCTACTGCCACTTCTTCTGCACTATCAAGCACGCTCACGACTGCAACCGCTGCTTCTACGACGTCAAGCACGAGCTTGGTTGCGGCTTTTTCGTCTAGCCAGACCCAAAACACGGAGACTGTACCTCAAATATCCAGCCAGACTCAGAATACAGGGAGTATACCTCAAGCGTCTAGCCAGACTCAGAACACAGGAAGTTTACCTCAAACGTCGGCAACGGTGGCCGGTACACTCAGCACGGATTCCTCGTCAACGTCGACATCAGACTCTACAGCCGTGCCATCTACCGAAACTCCGTCTAGTGTGGATACATTATCAATAGCTACCACAATTTCCACCGTCATCTCTTCAAGTCAGTCGCCATCTGGAGCATCCTCCTCATCAACGGCTACTTCAGCCTCAGTAGTTGTCAATCAAGCCCTAGCCACTACAGCTTCCACGTCTGCAGCTTCTGCAACGCCTACGGCGCCGAGCCAGCCAAAGACAATCAGCAATTACAACTTGTACGGATGTCAAACCGAAGCGACCAACGCCAGGGCGCTATCCGCGTTTAGCTATGTCAATGACACCATGACGCTGGAATCCTGCCAGGCGTTCTGCAGCGCCAAGGGCTCCACGTACTTTGGCACCGAATATGGACGTGAGTGCTACTGTGGAGAGAGCTTTGGGTCGGGTTCGGTCGCTGCGCCGGCGTCTGACTGCACGCAACTATGTGCCGGAAACAAATTTGAATACTGCGGCAACGGCAACCGCCTGTCAGTGTACGTCAAGAATGGTACAGTCATTGTCAGCAGCCTCAGCAGTGCAGGAGGCTCGACGACATCCACTGGAATTGCTTCAGGTACCAACACTCCGGCGGCGGCGACTGGTTTTCCCAAGGGCTGGACAAGCCAGGGTTGTTGGCAAGGTGAGTATATGCAGCATGTCGTGCGTCCGTGAAAGAATGAAGAGGCTGACATATTTCGACGCAATAGATGGACCAAATGGCCGGATCATGCCCACCTATCAAGACCCTGACAATAAGGCACTCACTCCCCAGTCTTGTGCTCAAACTTGTTTCAGCAAGGGCTACAATATCTCCGGGACAGAGTATTACTCACAGTGTTTTTGCAGCAATGCCATCTACAATGGGGGCAAAGCGTCAGCTGATCAAACAAAGTGCAATACGCCATGCTCAGGAGACAGCAAGTCCATGTGCGGCGGCGCTGGTTATTTGAGTATAGTGTCCAACGGGACTCCCCCAACCTTTCAACCCCCTGTCCCCCAGACAAGTGGCCTCAACAATAGCTGGACATACCAAGGATGCTTTCCCGACAACCTGAACAATAAGCGGACTCTTCCGTGGCAGCTCCTGTTTCCAGGCACATTGACTCCCTCTCAGTGTTTATACCAATGCAGTCAGTTTGGCTACATGGCTGCCGGTCTCGAGTATGGACAAGAATGCTATTGCGGCGATCCCGTTGACCTTGCCAATGCCGGCGCAACCAAGCAGCCCGAGACAGACTGCAATCTTGCCTGTGCTGGAAATGCTTCTGCCATCTGTGGCGGCGGTTCCCGTCTGTCAACGTACTTCTGGACCGGCAAACAACCGCTTTGGCAGTTCTCCTACCCGACTGGAAACAATGCGGGAATATATTCAAACCTAGTCGGCGGTGTCGTCACTCCTCTAATGACCATGCAGTCCATCACTGGAAAGGTTACTTTCCTTGAAAAAGGAGGCACCGGAGCAGCAAATAGTACAGGAGCGTACGAGCTCGACTTGACTTACGGAGACCGATGGAAGGCGTGGAGAGAAATGCACGTCAAGACTGACATTTTCTGTTCCGCCGGCCTGATACTCCCAGACAAGGCGGCCAGACAGCTCACGATCGGTGGTTGGTCTTTAGATTCAACCTACGGCGTCCGCCTATACTGGCCAGATGGATCCCCAGGCGTTAATGGCACCAATGACTGGGAGGAAGATGTCAATAATCTCAGACTTCAGAATGGTCGCTGGTATCCTTCCGCCATGGGCATGGCCAATGGGTCTATCCTCGTGATTGGCGGCGAAGAGGGCTCGAACGGAGCGGCTGTACCTACGCTGGAGATTCTCCCTGCTACGGGCGGAAAGCCTTTGACTATGGACTGGCTGGCTCGGACTGATCCAAACAATCTATACCCATTTGCCGCCGTGCTTCCCGGTGGTGGCATCTTTGTGGGTTACTGGAACGAAGCCCTCATCATGAACGAGAACACCTTTGCCACCACTAAACAACTGCCCAACATGCCCGGTGCAGTCAACGATCCAAAGGGCGGGCGCACATATCCCCTTGAAGGCACGGCTGTCCTCCTTCCACAATACGCACCCTACACTGACCCTCTGGGCATCCTCATGTGCGGCGGCTCAACGCCCGGAGCCGGCCTGGCCCTGGACAATTGCGTCTCCATCCAGCCGGAGGTGCCCAACGCCAGCTGGACACTCGAGCGCATGCCATCCAAACGCGTCATGACCTGCATGGCTCCGCTCCCCGACGGCACCTACCTCATCGCCAACGGCGCACGCCAGGGCGTCGCCGGCTTCGGCCTGGCCACGGACCCCAACCTCAACGCTGTGCTTTACGACCCCCGCAAGCCCGTCGGCGCTCGCATGTCTGTCATGGCCAACACCACGGTGGCGCGCCTGTACCACAGCGAAGCCATTACGCTGCTCGATGGCCGCGTGCTCATCACCGGCTCGGATCCCCAGGACGGCGTCCACCCCGAAGAGATGCGCGTCGAGGTGTTTACACCGCCTTACCTCCTCAGCGGTCTGCCGCGACCCAGCTTCACCGTTGCCAGCAAGGACTGGGCCTACGGAGCCGTGGTCTCCTTTGCGCTTGGCGCCGCCGCCAGAAACGGGGCCATTCGCGTCTCTCTCCTGGGTGCCGTGTCGAGCACGCACGGCAACTCGATGGGCGCCCGGACGCTCTTCCCGGCCGTGTCTTGTACGGGTACCTCATGCACTGTTACGGCGCCGCCGGGAGCCCACGTTGCGCCGCCCGGGTGGTATCAGATGTTTGTTCTTGATGGTGATGTCCCGGCTGTTGGTATCTATGTCCGGATTGGTGGTGATCCGGCCAAGATTGGGAATTGGCCACCAGGGAACTTTAAGCGTCCGGGTGTGTAAGTAGATGATTTGATTCCGAATTTTCTTCATGGAGGGAAGTGTCGCAGTTCTTACCCATTGGTTTATCTACCAATACCTAGGTAGATATAATGAGAGTCAACATAAGGATTGCGAATTATGCACGATGACAGATAGTACTTTCGTTACCCGGGCTTCCTGGGTAGACACTGCGACGTAGCTACCATGAAAGATGTCGGCAGATGCTATCTCTCACCTGATCTCTCGTCTCCCAATCCTTGGTACAATAGTTGAGATTTACGTCTGGGATACGGTTCGCTCGTGAAATTAGCTTCCTCCAAGTCCAGAACCATCGAAACAGATTGTCAAAGGAAAGCTCTCCGACTTTGGAATCGAAAGAACAGGTAACGCCTCCACAAAGTGACCGCGTGGAATCAATGAGCCTTGATGATCGCGTGCAAGCTTCTAGGGCTGACGGTGGCGTTGGGGAGCTGGCACGGCATCATGCTCAAGCAATGACAACTTCCAAAAACGGGCTGTTGTTCTATTTGTTGTACGGTTACTGGGAATGAATATCCCGTGGCTCTGGCGCTATTCTGTCATCCAACCAGTCGTGATCCTTCTTCTCAGCCTTTGTATAGAGGATCCTTCAGTCGGCGGTGTCACCAAGCCACTGCAGTCGTTTTCCGCATTTATGCTAGGTGTCGAGAGCCTCAAAATAAGAATCAATACCGTCGTTCCCGTTGACGCCTAATGAGACCTAATACTATACAATACCGGCAGCGCTAGAAGTCAAGGCTATCGACGCGACGTCTTGGCTGGCGCCAGTCGGATCGATAGACTAAGCTCACGCACAACGTTGCCAAGGCAGTGCTATAGTACTTCAAATGAAGTCTTTTAAGTTATACAAAACCAGGGCGAGCATCCTCGCGCTCTAGAGTCTGCACAGCCATCAATGTCAAGTTGCTTCCACTGTGCTCTCGATTTGGGACATGGAAAGGGCAGATTTGGAAATCCAGGACTCAAACTTTTAGTCACAGAGACTACTTGCCTCGCAGCGTTTCAGACGAGTTCTGCTGACTAGTTGAGGCGGTAAGTACTGTGTATACCGTAGGATAACTCAACCGCCCGTAGAGATGTATCTGGTGAGCCGCAATAATGCGGCCGTTTCACCCTTCAGAGAGTCAAGCCCAGATATGCAATCGTATTTTCTGATTGGCACATTATGTTCACGCGATCCTGCTAGGTGTAGTAGACCCGATATCCAGAGGGATTCGAGGGGACACGTGACCTCTCCGCTCCACCGTCGAGAAGACTATTGAATTTGGTTGGAGTTGTGATACGCTCGTGGGTGTGAAGAATAATCGAAGTCTAGCCCAAGTGGATAACCAGTATTGTACGAAGTATATAACTCGCTTTTGTTGATGGGTTTTGAAAACAGAGTGAGTATAGCAATGAGCATTTGGTGGTATGCAGTATATTGTTGTCGTGGTCGGCAAACCCTCCCAACTTTGCCGAGAGATGATCTGCACGATCTGAGCAACCGGGTTAGGTGGCAGAGGCGCTCCAGTAACGTTTTGTGCATGAATCTTTACGCTTGGTACGATGCGGCTGATCCACCCTGATGGGGAAAGATTGCCTCAACATGGTGGCCTCCCGACATGTTGATTTGTTTTGGGCTGGTGCTTAGTCTGTAGTTGATTTGTCGCGTAGTGTAGTGCAGGTAGATATGTTGTTGGTGGACGGGAATCCATTAAGGTTAGCAGCAGTTATGTCATGTTGACAGGAATGACATGTAGATACGACGGGCCTCTTTTTCAGCAAGCCCTAGTGTTGACCAAGCAAGTCAAGGTCTTATCTGGCTGGATTCGCAAGACTCGGGAGTGCGAAACAACCGACTTCGTGTTGGACGGCAACAACTGCGCCGCAGTGGATCTTTAGCAATGTTTAGATCGGGAAACTCAACCAGTCAGCGGGTCAAAAATAGCATTCTGGGCTTGGCGCCAGACCCGACTCGAGGAGATCGACACTATGGGCTCTTCTAGGCTAGGCGGTACGTCGTTGTAGGGGAACGGCCCTGCAGCAAAAAAAAGCCGTTTTTCTTTTCTTTCAAGGCTTTCAAGCTTTTTTGACCCGAGTGCAGCATGGAAACCTTGCAGTGAGTGAATGAATGAGTGTGTCCTTTTTACTTCTCGGGATCGCAAGTCGCTTGATGACGCATCTGCGTCAATGCCAGACGGACGGAAGGAGCTTGAGAGTAGTAGTATAAGCCAACAAAATCGACATGGAGGAACGCCCTGATACGCTTCCTTTCTGATGCGACTTTCGTGTGTATGTATCTGTGTTTTTCAGCCAAAGAAATAAGATATCTCGTGATCTGTATTGAGAATATCTGCAAGCAGAAAGAAAAATGGTCATGTCCTTCTTTATAGCAGCGGATGGATGACCAACGCCAGGAACCAAACTTTCTTTTTCTTTTTTGTCAATGCATTGATGTACTCCTGCTAACCTTCCTAATAACCCGCGTTTTGATGAATGGCGGACGGATTTATAGATTGAGGCGTCCACCTCCCCCGGCTTTACATCCCTTTTCTTTGGGCAAGCTTATTGTTTTAACCTTTGATAACGGGGCTCGAATGTGGCCGCTTTTGTGGGATAGGTGATTGCGCAAAGTCGTTTCAGTGTGGATGTCAAGTGGTCTTTTAGTGTGAGGGCTACTTATTAATGTCGGCAGCCATCAATGGATGATTGATGATGATTCAAGATTCCCCCAGGTCACGGCCGAGAGAGGATAGTCGAGACGAGCGAAAAATGTGCCGAGAATCAAATAAAGAAATACACGGGGAAAAAAAAAGGAAGCCTGAAGAAAAGTCTAGACCTGGTGCTTCCGTTCGGTTTAGTTGGTCGCAAAAAGGGAGACGTCTTCAGTCTGATTCGTCTCGCTGCTCGCAGCACAGCATGGGCTTGCATTGGCTGCTACTGCAGGTGGTCAAGTAGTGGGTGGGGACGGCGGCGAGCCCCCCCAACTGGGGTTCATTTAGTTGGGCCAAATGGTGGCCGCCTGTCGGTTTTGGGAAACAAATCGGGGATCCCTGCTGAAAACCTTCGTCATCTCTCGTGTCCTGACCCAAGCCAAGACCCAGTATCCAAATATCCTTCCTGCGGTCCCTGCCCCAAGTAAGATCGAAAATATTCCTTTTTCCCACTACCTACCTTGTACCTAGAGAGCATACCGAGAGAATCAAGTCGTCGAATCTCCCTTCGTTCACCCGTTCGCTCGTTTGCTCAACCTCTTCTCTCGTTTGGTTCTTGGGACTGCCATAGTGTTACGTCCAAAAAATCCAAAATCTGCATCGATCCGTTTTGTGCTATTCCCTACGGCATACTGGGGAGCACGGATAGTCGCATCGAACTCCCCGGCCCTCAGTCCCATTGCTTGGACTGCTCGTGCTTCCAACGACCCGCTCCCATTCCTCTCAGTACCATCTCCATTACATTCGTTCACCCTGGGCGCGCCCCTGAGCGCAACGAAACCTCCGGCTCGGCATCCTGTCAAGCTTTGAAGCGCCCGCCTCGGGCTTCAAGATTGTTCAATACGCACACTTCTTGCCGGCCCGAACGCCGTCCTAACTGACACTCGGCTCCGAGGTCCCCACGTTGCCGCCACTTTCGTCGCTCTTTGTTTGCATTCGTTCAGGGAAAAGTCTTTGCCCATTTCAACTACGAGCCCTTGTTCGAATCGGCCAGTACCGTCAATACCATTGGTCTCGACGACAACCACGACTCTTTGACGACACCGGCATTCATGTTCATCCACTAGATTGACGTGCTTTTCCAAAATCGAGACGAGCTTCCTGCTGTGTAGCAGTTACGGCCCGGCCCCGTTCCAAGAGTACCGAAAATGCCGTCATCATGGAGCGCCCTGAGATCTCTGGTCTCTCGAGATAGTTCGGCCGAAGAATTGTTGAGTCTGCTCAACGATCCCTTCAAGCAAGAGGTAGATGCCCAGCACATCCTTTGAATTCCCATGAATGAAAGCTAACGGACCGCGTGTGTAGCTTGGCGATGGTGCCATCTGGTCTGCCTTGGGTTCGTCAGTCGGCATCACGTTTGGAATGGCCATTCTTTTCTCCTTCGTACGCCCTTACAACACCGTCGTATACGCGCCCAAATTGAAACACTCCGACGAGAAACATGCCCCTCCACCGATCGGCAAAGGCATTTTCGCCTGGGTAAAACCGTTATGGTCAACAAATGAGAAGGATGTCATCGCCCATGCTGGTTTGGATGCTGCCGTCTTCCTTCGTTTCACGAGAATGTGCCGCAACATATTCCTCGTTTTGGCCGTCCTTGGTTGCGCCATTATTATACCAGTCAATTGGACCAAGAATTCCGGCAAGTCTGAGCAGAAATGGTTCAAGCGGATCACACCGCTTGAAGTATGGGGATCAAATAACTGGGTACAAGTCGTCTTTGCATATCTTGCCGTTTTCGTCATCTGCGGTTTCTTGTGGTGGAACTACAAAAAGGTGGTTGTCCTGCGTCGCGGCTATTTTGACAGCGAGGAATATCAGTACAGCCTGCACGCCCGAACTCTAATGGTGAGTAGAGACCTGTTGAATGCTCATGGAGCAAGTGACTGCCGAGGATAACCTTACTGACGTCTGCAGCTCAACGATATCCCTAAAAACCTGGCATCTGATGAGGGAATCGCAAGAATGATTGACGAAATCATTCCCCAATCGTCATTCGCCAGAACTGCCATCGCCCGCAATGTCAAGGTACTTCCCGAACTTATTGCGCAGCATGATCGCACTGTGAGGAAACTTGAAGTGGTTTTGGCGAAATACCTCAAGGATCCTCATAATCTCCCAGCGGCGCGTCCACTATGCAAACCGTCCAAAAAGGATCCCTCCTTTAGCACCTATCCCAAGGGTCAAAAGGTCGATGCGATTGAGTACCTTACACAACGCATCAGAGACCTTGAAGTTGAAATCAAGGAGGTGCGAAGCACTTTGGACAAACGAAACACCCTGCCTTATGGATTCGCCAGTTACGACGATATTGCGGAAGCCCATTGTATTGCTCATGCTCTGCGCAAGAGAAAGCCAAAGGGCACATCTGTTGCTCTCGCTCCAAGGCCCAACGACATCATCTGGGACAACATGCCCATGAGCCCATCTGCCAGGAGTTGGAACAGGATTTGGAATAATATTTGGGTTGCTGTTCTCACCATCATCTGGATTGTCCCGAACGCCATGATTGCCATTTTTCTGGTCAACTTGAACAACCTTGGCCTCGTCTGGAAAGATTTCCAGACGACTTTGGCTGCTGACACTACATTTTGGTCTATTGTTCAGGGTATCTTGTCGCCAGCCGTCACATCGTTGGTCTTTCTCGTACTTCCCATCATCTTTCGACGACTTTCTATTCGAGCTGGAGACAGAACCAAGACCGGTCGCGAGAGGCACGTGCTGGCCAAACTTTACTCATTCTTCGTGTTTAACAACTTGGTCGTCTTCTCCATTTTCAGTACTATTTGGTCTTTTGTTACCGCCGTCATTGCTGATACGCAGAAGGATCCAGACGTGTGGAAGGCAATATTGAAAGTAGATCCCGCAACGACTCTCTTCATCGCCTTGTGCAATATTTCTCCTTTCTGGGTGACTTACCTGCTGCAGCGTCAACTAGGTGTTGCCACCGATCTGGCGCAACTGTGGAAGCTGACTTGGAGTTTCTTCCAACGCAAAATGGGCAGCCCAACTCCGAGAGAGCTCATTGAGCTCACAGCGCCCCCGCCGTTCGAATATGCCATGTACTACAACTACTTCCTCTACTACTCGACAATTGCGCTCTGTTATGGTGGTCTGCAACCATTGGTGCTACCTGCGGCTGCTTTGTACTTTGCCGTCGACGTCTGTCTAAGGAAATACCTCTTGCTCTACATCTTCGTCACGAAAACAGAGTCTGGCGGCATGTTTTGGCGAGTCCTCTTCAATCGGTTCATCTTCGCGACGGTTCTCTCGACACTTGTCGTCTTCCTTACTTGTTGGGTCCGCGGTGAGGGCACTCATACCCAGGCCTTTGCCGTGATCCCTCTGCCATTCTTGGTAATTGCGTTCAAGATTTATTGTTCAAGGGCATTTGATAATAAGATTCATTATTATGCCACTCGCAACGTAGTACGGAACCCCGAGCATGGAAACCCCAAGGATCCTCTTCGATCGGATCGCCTTGCAACTCGATTTGGCCACCCGGCCTTGTACAAGCCGCTCATCACCCCGATGGTGCACTCCAAGGCTCAAAATGTCCTTCCGTCCATCTACAGAGGTCGCATCTCGGATGGTAGAGAGGCCTACTCTGGAGACACCATGTCGACCTCGGGATACAGTGACGCATATATTCTTAATCCAATGGACAAATCGGGCAAGGCCGCCAAGTCGTCCATGCCCGGCTTTGAGCTTGTCCCTGAAGGGAGGTTGGATTTTGAGTACTACAAAAACAGACCGGAATTTGCATCCGAGCACGGCGGTGGGGAGATTTATGGTCGCCATGCCGACTTGATTCGTCCCGGGACGCCAGGAAGCATGTGGAATGATAGCGAACCACCTTCGAGACCTGGCAGCCCCGGTCTTCCTCCCGTGCCAAGGACCGCTAGTCCCGGACCTGGCCGCACATACTCACCTCTGGCTGGCAACGCCAGCCCCAAGGCGACTCTGCCCGAACCGGGCCGCTCAAGGAGTCCGTTGTACGCAATGGACGACGAGAGTGGATTGAACCTGGTGAACAATGCAGCGGCGATGCCCATGACTACCCCTCACCGGGAACCCAGCATGGAACATCCTGCTCTGCGAGCTCCCGGAGGCGCAGGCATGTTGGGTGGTGGTCCCCGAGGATATGGCAACCTGCCTCAAGAGGAGGATATGACTCCTGAACATGATCCAATGGCATACGACTACTTTCGTAGTACCAGAACGAGAAGATCATAAAAGGACGTCCGCACATAGATGAGACATTGGTTTGGATTCGAAAAAGAAGACGAGGGATGCACCTCGTATATGAAGAAGATGTTCATTTCGGCAAGCATTGGTTCGGCGTTTCTGGCTCGGATGGCGCCTAGGAATAAGGCAGCCTTTATGAAATGATATGGGAAATCAAATATGGCATTAGAAGGGTGTTTCAGCACACCAAACGTCTCATAGACTTACGAGAAAGCGTGCATCAAGCTGGCTAGACACAGCCGATAGATGGTCATCGATTCAGTATTTACCGAGTTCTAATGCGCCTGGAGCAAGGCTGGCAATGCTCTGGATGTTTATAGTTAAGTTCTGATACATATGAGAAATATGTGGAAATTTACATACCCGTATGCATGTTGTGAATCAGTACTGGCCACGCGAGCGTCTTGCAGTCGACATGTAGTCCGAAAGAATGATGCTCATCTATCCATGATCTCACGCGGACGACAATATGAATCACGGCGAGATGTATCCTCACCAAGGCGTTTTCTATTTAAGCCGGCTTTCACGCAGCAGCCTCTTTTCTTTCCTGCGCCTGAAACAGATTTACATTCCTTACGTCCTCACATCTAGCTTTTTATTGATATTCCCGACACACGGTCTTTGGTATTACCAATATCAACTGACAATGGACTCTGGGGGCAACCAGAACCCAAACGATACCCGCTTACAGCAGCGGCAGATGAACCGGTGGATGCGCTCATTCCATCATGATTGGCTCCGCAATCATGACGCTACTACAGCGAGCCGTAGTGGAAGCAACAATGGTAGCGGGAGCGATAGTAGTAGCAACTGCAGCTGCAGCAGCTGCTCGTCCTGTTCGTGTTCGTGTTCGACGAGCAGCTACGACAGCGACGACGATGATTATCACTCCAACAACAACAACAACTACTGGAGTGCTTATTTGTTAATGGATCCGTCCTGGTTCGCGTTGATGGATCCCTTGCCGTGGATGTCCATGATGATGCCGCCGCCGCTGGTGCCGCCGGTCATGATGGGTGCTGGGTCGAGGCCCAGCTACAGCAGACGAAGAAGACGAGGCAGAAATTTGAACCAAGGTCCGGATCAAAGTCAAAACCAGGCTCAAGACCAAAACCAGGCTCAAGACCAAAACCAGGCTCAAGACCAAAACCAGGCTCAAGACCAAAACCAGGCTCAAGACCAAAACCAAAACCAGGACCAGAGCAGCAAGAGTGTGTAACAGATTGGTTGAAGCGGCGTTGGGGGCTCAAATAGCCTGGCATCAATCTTCCATGTGCTCACACGACCAAGAGTTGTTTGCTTTGGTATGTTTTGTAATTGTGGTCGACTCTATACAGCCATTATTGCTTCTTATTGTGCTTTGCTCGACCAAGTCCATGAGATTTTAAGAGAAGCTTCAGTCACTACACGTTCTCCAGCGCAACAAAGCAAAACTATAGAAGATAATTATTGAGAGAAAGATGAACAGAGTCAAATATTTCGCTCGAGGCTTTCGTGGTACAACTAGAGAAAGTAGGAATGCTAAATGTGTAGTATAGTAGAAATGCACGCAAGTATGTATTAAACATTGCCTATTCTACTATTGTGGTGGGCCCCATTTCCAGGCTTGAGCTCCATGCTTGGCCGGTCATGAAAGGTCCCAGTACGGAATAGATGCCCCTTTTGGGGTTGCGGAAGCTCGCGGTTGGATATACCCCGTAAAAGATCGACACTTGTCTTTCTGAAACGTATGCCAAGACCAGCGATCCGGGGCAGGCTGCCGACGTACTTGGGCAGTATACTGAGCCGCATCGGGGGACAAACCCTGGTTTGAATCTCTCCCTCCGTTCGCTTTGGCCCCCGGTCTTTGCGGCTTGGCATCTGGCTGGGATTGAAGGACTTTATTTCGGCCGCGCGCTCCGTAAACCTTTGGTGGGCACGTCGAGGTCGTCGGCTGGCTAACGAGACCTGGGGTTGGAGGGCGGCCCGGCTACCGAAGGAGAGCTCCATCGTTTGCCCAAACAAACCTCGACGGTTTTGCATCACCGGATCCTCCATCGCCATCCCTCTGCCTTGCGCGCGTGCTCGGCTCTCGAGGGATCAAGATCCGTCCCTTGCCCCCAAAATGCAGGAGAAGTCTATCAGAGAGCAGCGGTACCTGAACGCAGGAACGCCTCCCGAGATTTGAGCCATGCCATGTCAGGTCATGGACGCATAGTCACGGAACATGTTTCCTGTTCCCTCCTTGGAGATCAGATGAGCATTTTTCTTTGTAATCTCGGAAGCAGAAACTTTAATGTTTAATCCGGGAAAGGCCATCGTATCCCTCGTTGGTTGGGACATCGCCACCAAGAACAAGAACCTCCTATAAAGGCGGCTTATCCCAAGGTGCAAGATGATATGGATGTGGGATAACACAAGCCAGTCATTCTTCTATTTCTGTATCACCCAAAGACATTCATTTGTAAAGCAACGGGCACAGAAAATCAAAATAAAAAAAAATCATGAAGTCGACATTCACTTCTCTCTTGGCACTGGCTGCCGCGGCTACCGCCTTGCCTTCTCAAAATGGGAAGCGTGCTGCTTGCTCTTCGGCCGTCAGTCTAGATGCCAGCACCAACGTCTGGTCGTCTTATACTCTGCACCCCAACTCATTCTACAGAGCCGAAGTTGAGGCCGCAGCTGCCAACATCAGCAACAGCACCCTGGCAGCCAAGGCTCTCAAGGTTGCCGACGTTGGTTCTTTCTTGTGGCTGTAAGTTTTGCTGCGACAGGTGCTGGGAACTGAGTCAACATTTGGGGGGTTTATTTGGGCTGACTTGACGATACCCAACAGGGACACCATTGCCAACATTGACAAGCTCACCACCGAGCTCGCCAACGGTGTTCCGTGCGAGAACATCTTCGGTCTGGTCATCTACGACCTTCCTGGCCGTGACTGTGCTGCCAAGGCATCCAACGGTGAGCTGGCAGCCGGCGACATCTCCACTTACAAGACCCAGTACATTGACCGTGAGTATTTCCTCTAATTCTTGGTAGTCAACCAAGTCCCTTGAGTCTCTGATACTGAACATCCACCTCAGCCATTGTCACCATCCTCAAGGCCAACCCCAACACGGCCTTTGCTCTGATCATTGAGCCCGACTCCCTGCCCAACCTGGTGACCAACGCCGACCTCGCCACCTGCCAGGCCTCGGCCTCGGGCTACCGCGAGGGTGTTGCCTACGCCCTGGCGCAGCTGAACCTGGACAATGTCGTCATGTACATTGACGCCGGCCACGGCGGCTGGCTCGGTTGGGACGCCAACCTCACCCCCGGTGCCGAGGAGCTCGCGAGCGCCTACACCAGCGCCGGATCTCCAAGCCAGGTCCGTGGTTTCTCGACCAACGTCGCTGGTTGGAACTCCTGGTGAGTCTTGTTGTGCCTGATTAGTCCTTTTCGAAAAAAAAAAAAGAAAAAAGCCGATACACTTACTAAACTCAACCCTGTCTAGGGATGCTGAGCCCGGTGAGTTCTCCGGCACCAGTGATGCCCAGTACAACAAGGCCCAGAACGAGGAGAAGTACGTGACGCTGTTTGGTGCCGCGCTCTCCACCGCCGGCATGCCGAACCACGCCATTGTCGATACTGGACGGTAAGTTTTCTCCTTCCTTCCCCCCTGCTCCAACTCGTGTGAAAACATGCAGCTGAACATTGCATCTCCTTCTTTACAGAAACGGCGTCATTGGCCTCCGCGACGCCTGGGGTGACTGGTGCAACGTCAACGGCGCCGGATTTGGCGTGCGGCCCACGGCATCGACGGGTCTCGAGCTCGCCGACGCCTTTGTCTGGGGCAAGCCCGGCGGCGAGTCGGACGGCACCAGCGACACGTCGGCCACGCGCTACGATTCCTTCTGTGGCTTGGCCGACGCCTTCAAGCCCTCGCCCGAGGCCGGTACTTGGAACCAGGCCTACTTTGAGATGCTTCTCGAGAACGCCGTCCCGTCCTTTTAAAGAGCATGAAATAATTGTTGGGTCAGAGGGCTGATGGAGGAGGGAGGCAAAAAAGAACTCCGAGTGAGATGTACATAAGATTGCCCATCAGATACATGGCTCCTTCGTTCTTGTATATACTTTATTCCAACCACATATAAAAAAGCTTGACTTCGCTATTGCAGTTTCATTTTTGTCCATGATGAAACTTGATCTTCACTTTGCCAAACGTTCGCAAGGAATGGGATGGGATAGATGAAAAGCAAAAAACATGTGTATGCAATATGCAGCTCTGTTCCATATCATGTGTTCCAACGACTCCGTAGTCAAATGCCACCAGTATGCCTGTCTTGTATGCCGTGCTTGTCTAACGCGACCCAATGTTTGTGAATATGCAAAACGCCCCTTTCCATGCAGTCGTATCTTTCTTCATCAGTCGTAACCATTACAATGTGTTCACCGCTCTTCCTTCAGGCGGTATTTTTGACTTGTCATGCTCGAATATCTCCCCCGACACCCGTCAAAAATGGGCAAGGTACGGCCTGCCTCAAATGAGATCATCAAAATCGTCGTCCCAACCAAGTCTCTCGTACAAGGACATAGTCCGTGTTGTCGATGGCTTATCTAGTTGCAATTTAGGAGCTGATGTGACAGCAACGTCACTGGCCACACCTCGGCTTTTAGCAGGAGTGACAGTCACAAATCCCTCCAGGGAACCCGTCTGTCCAAGTCGTGGCCTTTTGACTGGTGTTTCAGCGAGTCTATCCCCTGGCGAAGAAGGCATGCCTATGCCGCTATCGCGATGCTTCAAATAGCTGCTAGGAGCAGGTGGATACTTGCGGGACGCAATAGGAGAAGATGCAAGGACCAGACCCTCATCTGGTTCGGGCGCGGAGAGAAAACTCCGTTTGATAGTCGGGCGTTTGAGCGGCGTTGCGTCTATGAGATCTGCCGGTGCCCTAGGGGGCGGCAGTGCTGGCGACGATGCTTCCACCAAGACCTGATCATTGTTTCGCTTCTTTGTCGTCGAAGACGGTATCCGTCGAGAACTCGATGAAACAAGCTGGTCAACTTCCACCGACTCATGTAGTTTTGCGGATGTGGTTTGGGACCAATCATCCCGTGCGAGTGCATTCCGGAAGCGTGGTCCAGCTGGTGTAGCCTTGACTATGTTGTGGATGCCGCCATGTTCTGTCGGTTTCCTGGATTTCCGCAACTGTGACAGACTCGTGCTTGCTTTCCTCTCCTCAGCCTCAGCCATAGCTTTCCCAACAACAACTTCTCTGTTCGGTTTTCTCAAACTCGAAATCGCAGCTTTCAATTCGGCATCGATCTCGGCTTGCTTCTTGGCCTTCTCCTCCGGGTTTGGGCGCCTACTGGCCGCTGCCGACGAGCCGGAAGCCTGAGACCGACTGGCGCTCATATCTTGCGAGTCCCTCCTGGCTGGTAGACTGGCCAATGAAACCGTGTCACTGGATTCTCGCTTCAACATGGGCACAGGTGTTGTAGCAGACCGCATCAACGCAATCATACTACCTGGTCCGCGCGACATACTGCGGCGGTTGCGTTCCGATTCTTTAGACAGGACACGATCCAGCGTGCGAGTAGTCTTTGTTGTCGTTGGGCGTTTAGTCACTGTGCCTGGTTTCGCTTTGGGTTTGGCTATATCCTCGGCCCTTTTGGGCTTCGGTTTGGGGGGAGATGGCATGAGTGGTCCGCCTAATTTTCGATTGAGGGAGTCACAATGCTCCGGCAGACGAGCGGAAAAGCTGTAGCACGAGGTCAGTCAGTCTGAACTGCGGAAATTGGTCGAAAGATCATCATAAATTCCTCGACTTACAATGGCACAATGATCTCAATGCAGAAATCCTTCAGGGGGTCCGTGTGTGATCCTGGGTTCTGTGCTGCATTCGGTCCACCAGACTGGGATTCATCCATGACCTTGATCTCGTCAAGTGACGTAGACTGCCATATGCTGAGACGATCGGCATGGACATCCAAAAGGATGGGAAAGTTATGTTTGTTCCGCTTCTTTGGAATCGAGTCCTTGAACGAGTCGGAGAAAGAGGCCTCTGTAGCTAGACTGTGGAGTTGCGAATCTTCATTCGCAGCAACGCGCATAGGTTCTAGCGCCAAGATTTCTAGGATTAGAATCATCTGCAATTGCGTCTCTCTTGATCGAAGGCGCGAGATCTGCAGCTTTGTCTCTTGCGGTACCTCCTGCGGGCTCGAATCGTCGTCCCTCTGCTGCGGTTTACGAGCATCCCACCATCTCCGTACATTATCGTCCTCATTCGGGTACAAAATGTCTTTTCCCAGCTTCATCTTCTTGGACTTTCGTTTCTTGGTTTTGGATCCTTGCTCGTCTTCCGAGTCTGGGATGTGGGTCTTCATTTGAGTAAGAATACCGGGAATTGTTTCCCGGTATTTCTTATCAATTTGGATTGTAGTTAGGATAAGACTTTTGAGAAAGTCAATGAGCTCGTTCATGTCCAGGTTAGAGTCACTGTCTGGACGAAAAGCTGCTCGTGCTCGGGACAATGGACCTTTTGCGAAATATGCTAACGACCCCTACAAAAGCATTAGTTCGTCCCAAGGAACATTAGATAGAGCAGTGCTCACCATGGAATGATATAGTGCCTCGAAATACTGGAGACGAATGTTTTCAAAAATGCTTTGCGCAGTTTGTACTGCTGGACCATCGTCCGGTGCTGACGAGGTTGGTGGATTATTGCTCTGCTCCGGTACTCCTGTATCAGCCAAACTTTGCAGACCCCCGGAAGATGCAGCAGTCTGGGCGGCGGGCTCTGCCTTGGGCAAGGCTGATTCATGGATGACATTCAGTGACTGTGGTGGTAATGAAACAGAGAGTGACCTTGAGGGTCTCTTCACGAGTGACTGAATGGCCTCCATCGCTAGCCTTCGTTTCTCGTTCTCGTGATGTAGCTGAGGAGTTGTTGATGCCTCAGGACGAGATGTGCCCACGGGGATGGATCGGGATTTTAGGAGTTTCGCATAAGCGACCGTTGCATGAGCGCTTAGCTTCTCGAGATCAACCCAGTTGCCCAGCTGGCACAGAGAGTAAAGGCCGCCATCTTGACGCTCTAATACGTATGCCGTCTTATTCGTCTCCATGCGAGCGATGAGTACTACGGGGCGGCTCCCGAGGCGGCTCTCAAGATCCAAGATCTTGATAGTAGATTCATATTGATGTGCGTGCTCGAAGTCCCCACAAGGTGCTGCAAGGTCTAGGCACGAGAGAGACAAGTGCTCGCGTGGTAAAAGCATCAACGGCTGCAGACTGCGGGGCTTGGTAGAGAGCTTCGACGGATGTGGCTGTATATATATTCAGTTCCATAGCTCATTCCGAGACGGTGATGTGTGACATACTCTGACAATAATGGATGGTTTGAGCAAATCTTCCATCGCATAAGCATCGTGACTGCGCTTTCTGCTTTGGCCGTTGGGGGAAGAGCCATTGTCGTGATGGTCGAGGGGGCGTCGGTCCGGCGAGGAGAGTACTACTTCTTCCTTGGCCTCCGATATTTGACGCGACGCGTCTGGGGCGCGGACCGTGGGGGACATGCGGAAATCAACGCCGAAACCTTGCCTGTATCATTGCAGATAACTCATACTATAGAATACAGGAAGGTAAGGGCAATCATCAAATAGTCATGCAGGCGAGGAACGTTTTAACAACTGTAAAAAAAGAAAACTTTTTGAAGTTCACTGGAGGCTGGTACAATGGTAATTAGAATTGAGTGCATGCAAGGCAAGGTACCGCGTCCCACCCCTAAAAATGTATTTCGCTTCCTTCCAATGGCGTCACGCGTCTTCGCGGACCCTGTCCAGGGTTGCTACTACATAGTTGGTGGTAATACATAACATTTAAAGAAAAGAGAATTATGCAAAACCCAGCCCGCCAATTTCACCCACAGGTTAACGTACAACACAGCCATGTCTGCGAAGTGCGCTTTTTCTATCTACTTTGCCTGCAAATACGTCTCGTTTGGGAAGTGCTTGACAATGCCATGTGTAGTATTACTCCGGCCTTGAACTATGGGGATCCGGAAAAAAAAAAAAAAAAAAGTCTTTCGACAATACAAGTAATTCTAGGTT